GGGGGGGGTTTCGCTCTTTCATTCATACACACCCAAAGTTTTTATAAATTAAGTTGTGGTTATTCATTAGGACAGGGATAGGCCTATGCCTAGTATTCTTCAGCAATATTATCATATATAATAAATTATTATTTTAGGATCTTGTATTGCTGAAGGACCATCCGGAGACCGAATTAGGATTAGTGATGATGGTACCACGTTGGTAGGAGGATGTGCACTTTGCGAATGCGAGGCTGCTCAAGAAACTGATTACCCTTTGTTTTGGCGTAGAGATAGCAATCCACCACTCCTTTCTCAGAGGTACAGTAATGATTATTATTATTATTGTTAGGGACCTATTATTATTACCATTATTATTATCGTCGTCGTCATTTATAGTATCATCCTCATCATTAGGCATATCATTATAATGAATAGCCTATACAGACCTAATCATATCACATACTAGGCCTATCTTATATGATGGTGATCATAATATATTTTTCTAAATATTTTAAAACTGAAGATGATATTTTGCAGACGCGCGATTTGCGATACATCAGCATGCCAACCTGAGAATCCTTGTAGTAATACTGATCCGTCATTGGTGTTTCCATCCTCGAGGGATGTGCCACCTTGCACTTTCGGCTGCCTTTGCTTCACCAATGGTGATGTCCGACTTTGTATTGATCCAGCCCCATGTGACGTCACAAATAAGTGCATAACACCCGAGTTATCATGTGGATGCCCGACTTGCCCAGAAGGTAAACAAATAACATAATAATATCTCCGGAGGCTTGTATAAATATTCAAATTTTAATACTAATAAAAGTATTAAAAATAGTAATATTTGTATAAATAATAATAATTTTTATAAATAAATAATAATTAGGTTGTAATCTGTAATACTGTGTCGTTCTGTTTTAGTTGGAAATTGTGTTGCGATGGTTGATGAATTTTTCTATCTAATTAATGATGATGGCCCAACGACGGTAGCTGGTTGTGCAGTTTGTGAGTGTAATCCAATTTCGAATCCTATCCCGTTCCCCGGATTTTGGTTGCCAGGAAACAAACCACCAACTGTTCAAACAAGGT